AAAAGATTCATCCTTTTGTAACTTGTTGTTACCCTCATTTAATAATTTACATAATGTGATTTATCCATCTGTAGCTTAAATGCTGCAAGTTTGGTGATTATTGTCACACTATTAAGTCTGTTGACAGCTTCCTGTCTCATGACTTTGGTCCTGATCACTGGTGTGATGATCTCCTCTATTTAATAACCACAAATCAGACTCCGTTCACGTCTGATGTGTGACCATGAACAGCACTCACAAATCCACAGTGATCCAAAGAAATATCCTTAGTCAGGATACACAGCATATTACATTTTTAAACACACAAAAGTGTGAAAGCATGAAATTTATGGGGTAACAGTGTAACAGAGAGAAAATATCTCTGATCTTTTATATTAGCAGGGCTTTATGGACTAATATTTGCGAATGAAACGGATGAAATCTCTCACTAGAAATGTAATGTTGTAACTGTGTGTTTAATGAAGGATTGAAACCCTCTGGAGCTGTAAATGTGTTCTCATTCTCCACAGTCACAACAGGTGAATACACATGTAATTATCTCATGATAATTAGCCGACCTCTCCTGACAGCGCCTTACCTTGTGTCTGACAGTGGGGAACAGTGTGGACTGGGGTGAAGATGCTCCTGTCCCAGCAGCCAGTGTGCCGCTTTTCCTCTGTTTTTGGCTGTGTTAAGGTCACAAGGTGATAATCCGTGATAACTGTTGGTTCTGATGGGGTTCGTGCTGATTGTAATGGGGTGATGTGTGCCAGGATGGGATAACCCACTGCATTAGTTATAAATGGACGTGTAATTTCAGATGTGAGGAAAATGTTTAAGGTGATAAGAGCAAATTACGGAGACCCTAAAGGGACATGGTGGTGGAAAAAAAAAACATGGAGAGAGGAAAAAATATTTTTCAATTTGTTTGCGTTCTCTCGCAAAACCAGTTGAGTTCGGACAAACACTTCCTATTTACTCTACAGCTTGCAGTGGTTCATACAGCTCTGTACGTTCACAATGAAGCGGTTCATAAAGTTTTATTGAACTTGGACTCAAGTATAAAGAAATACAGTCAGTGCTTATAGTTCAAGGCACAGTTTTGGGACATTCTGAAACGCTTAATGTGGCTTCATGTACTAAAACAGTGACATTGGAGGACCAAATTCAGTACACACCATATTAATAATTACTATTATAACACTATTAATATGAATAACCTTATTAATAATTTTACTAATAAAATATTATTTACAGACAAGCAGAATAGGCCAGAATATGGACGCTAAAATGCACGTTAAGCTTTCTCTCCCCATAGAAAACGTCTCAGGTTACGCATGTAACCATGGTTCCTCGAGGCAACGAGACGCTGCGTCGGAGGACACTTTAGGAACGCCCTTCAGCGTGACCGACTCTGAACCACGTGTGTAATCAGTCCAATGGATGGGCGAGACGTCACGGGCGGGGTGACGTAGCGACCAGGAAGCTTAAAAGCATGTGCGGTGAAACCGGCCTCAGCTTCTAGGAGTGAAGCAAGCGCTGGCAGAGATGCCGAAAGTATGGCCCCGAGACGCAGTGTCTCGTTCCCTCGAGGAACCATGGTTACATGCATAACCTGAGACGTTCCTCTTCAGGAACTCGAGCTGCGTCTGAGGACACTTTGGGAACGAGTGTGCCCACGCCGCCAGACTTTTAAATCTTTGCCTAGTGTGGAAGCCTGCACAGCTAGGGCGAGAGAACAGAAGAGCCAGGAGTGGCTCGCATGTCTAGGCCATAGAACCTGACAAAGGTTAGGGGCGTGGACCATCCCGCAGCATCGCAGATGTCCTGCATCGAGACACCTGCCAGGAAGGCCTTGGAGGCCGCCACAGTTCTAGTAGAAAGTGAGCCTTGACCCCTAAAGGCGAAGGGAGATCAGAGGACTCATAAGCGATCAAAATGGCATCTACTATCCACCGACTGAGGGTCTGTTTAGAAGCTGGAAGACCTCTCTTAGGGGGACCATAGCACACAAGCAGTTGGTCCGCACTTCTCCACAGGGCAGCTCTGTGGACGTATGCGTCCAGTGCTACGTTCCCGGGCGGTGACTGAGAGTGGCTCTCGCTGGAGGCCGCTGCGCCCTGTAACTCCAGCAGGGTTAGCAGACCGATCTCCTGAGGGCACTGAGGTGAGACGGAAACCGTGTAATGCGTTGTAACCCGCTCCACCCCAGAAGGGCCTGCCCTCACGAGTCCTGGGCCAGTGGCGTCAGGACTTCTTGGCCGAGGATCTCTTAGTCTTAAGTACGGTCCGCAGATCCGGCTTAGACTTCGAGGCCCCCGACCCAGAGCGACTCACGGCCCCGACGCTGGGGAACATGTGAGGCGACGCTCTGTTTTTGTGCCTCCCTGTATGAGGAGCTGGTACTCGGAGGGGGCTGCTCCCGCCCGGTAGCCCTCAGAGCTAGAGAGCGGCGAGGGAGGAACCTCTGGAACGTCGCCACCTGTTTACGAGCCTCCTGGTACCTATCGACGACAGAATTGACGGCGTCACCGAACAGGCCAGAAGGTGCAAGGTGCCGCCACCATAGCTGCCATAGACCTGCCGATGGCACGGGCGGTCTCCTTAGTGGTGCGGAGAGACCAATCAGCCGTCCTCCTGAGCTCGGTAATATCCTCGGATTTTACCTGCTCACCCTCATCCAGCTCTTTGAGCAGGTCGGCTTGGTACACCTGCAGACACGCACCAGCCTGACCCGCTGCCGAGTACCCCTTGCCCACCAGCGCTGATGTTGTGCGTATCGGCTTGGAGGGCAATGCCGGAGCCTTTAAAGACGATGCAGCATCGGGAGACAGATAGCTCGCGAGCATCTGTTCTACCCGGGGCATTCTCTTATAACCACACTCACTCATCCCTGCCACATTGCCGTAATAATCAGAAGCGGAGATAAAGAGGCGGGCTGCAATGCGGGCAGTCAACTCTCTTGAAAGCCGACTCAGCATGCTCCGCTCCCAGGCAGACAACGCACAAACTGTGTGTATCCCCACCCGTAATGTAACGCGGGCAGGGAGGAACACACAGCCTGAAACGCAGCCTGCCCTCGCCCTTGCTTAGGTGCTTCTTTTTGTCTTGTGCTTTTGACATTATTTGAACAAACAACACCAAATAAGACTCACAAACGAATATCAGACTGACACACACACAGAGCGCTTGCTGAATAACAAAAAGCTGACGCCGGTTTCACCGCACTTGCTTTTAAGCTTCCTGGTCACTACGTCACCCCCCGTCCCCCCTGTGACGTCTCGCCCATCCATTGGACTGATTACACACGTGGTTCAGAGCCGGTCACGCTGAAGGGCGTTCCCAAAGCGTCCTCCGACACAGCTCCTGAAGTTCCTGAAGAGGAACTGTTATAAAGAAAACACTTAACATGGCTTAGTGGAAGAAGAAAGCAATATAAAAAGCCCAAATTTGGAATACAGTTTATTAAGAAATATATACTATATTCAGGCAAACAGATGAACCCAGAATATGAACGCAATGCACTGAACAGCATGTCAAGTGTTTTCCTACCATAAAAACATTATAAAGAAAATGCTTAAGGTAATGGACAAAAAAATATCAAATCTGTTATACAGTTTATAAATAAAATATATTACGCACAGCAAAGCAGATGAGCCCAGAATATGAACGGAATGCGCAAAGTTTCATGTGTTTTCTCCCCCCGTAGAAAAAACATTATAAATAAAAGGCGAACGCAAAGTTTCTCGGGGGAATGCAAAAGTTTTGCGAGAGAGCGCGAAAGATTTGAAACATGTCCCTTTAGGGGCTCCGTAGTAATTAATCCTGTCATTGATTTAATTGATTCCTTGTGAAGCATTCGATTTGTCCTGGCATCTCTAATGGGAAATTGTTGTTTCCCTGGGATTGTTGTTGTTAATGGGAAATTTAATTTCCCCTTTTTTATGCCAGAAGGCCTTAAACAGGACATGTATATGTATATGTATATGTATATGTATATGTATATGTATATGTACACTGTTCAAAATTTTGGGGTTGGTAAGATTTACTGGTATTTGATAACAAAAATACAGTAAAAATTGTGGAATTTATTGTGAAATTTACAATAATTGTTATTCCTGTGATGTAAAGCTGAATTTTCAGCATCATTACTCCAGTCTTCAGTGTCACATGATCCTTCAGAAATCATTCTAATATTCTGATTTGCTGCTCAAGAAACATTTCTTGTAATTATCAATGTTGAAAATAGTTGTGCTGCTTATTTATTTATTTTTGTTTGTTTTTTGTGGAAACTGTAGCAGTTTTGTTTTCAGGATTATTTAATTAATAGAAAAGTTATTTTTTTTAGATTTGTCTTTCTGTATCAATGGAACATAATTTCTGAGTAAATTATCATTTTTATTGCTGCAAGAACTCTTGACTAACTTTATAAGTATATCTTGAACTAAGTAAATAAATAAATGAGTGCTACAAAAGTAGTGTGGTCCATTTAAATGACAAATGACAAACCATTCATCACAATACTCAGATCACTTACAATCACTTTCTTTTGCTCTGGTCTGGTGTTAATAATAATAATATCAGATGAGAACAACTGAACTAGATTACAACACTAAATTTGCAACATTGACACTGTTATTGAATTGAATTGAGCTGAATGGTGACTCTGATGCCTTCTGTAGAGCTGCTTTATAGCTTAATTGAATTTGTTTTATAATTAATAGTCTTTGCAACATTGACAGTTACTAAACTGAATTGAATCAACATTGAACTAAACTGTGTGATTCTGTTGTCTTCTGTATAGGCCTGTAATCGAATTTGTTTCATAATGTATTCATTTCACAACAACAACACTGTTGTTTTCATGTTTATTACTGTGAAGATGCTTTGAAACAATCTGCACTGTGTAAAGTGCTATATAAATGCATGTGACTTTACTAATATTATGTCAATTTCTAAATGTTAACATAAACAAACGCTCATTGATCGAGCTTTGCCTGGTCTTCTCTCTCCCGGATCAGAACACCTACACTAATGCAGATAAACTCCTGGAAGCGGCCGAGCAGTTGGCCCAGACGGGCGAGTGTGACCCTGAGGAGATCTATAAGGCGGCGCGACACCTGGAGGTCAGAATCCAGGACTTCGTCAGGAGAGTGGAACAAAGAAAACTACTGCTGGACATGTCCGTCTCCTTCCACACGCACACTAAAGAGGTAAGACTGACACACATACCTGGTGGATTACAGAGGAATGCTGGGAGGTTTTGCTGAGCAGTGCCAGATGTGCTCGAAGAACACGCTGTTTACCTTTCCAGATGCCAATCAGGCGCTTGTGTGAAATGTTAAATGCTTTTGCCATTACGTAATTCATTACGTGTTTAAGGCACGTTACTGCAGCAGTCAATAGCAGTGATTATTAGTGATTTATTATGCAGTAATGTGACATTACACTACATCCATCACCTCGTGCTCTCTGCGTTTGAGAAGGACAGAGAGTGTAAATATGTTGGAGGGTTAAGTGGCACAATCCATCTTTCTGGGGCGGTTTGGTGCGGTGCTTGTCTCATGGAGCTCAAGCGTGAGCTATAGTTTTGTTGATGTATGGCGATTGTAGGAATGTGGTTTTCTCACGCCTGCCTCTGATGTCCTGATATCGCTCTCTCTCTCTCTCTCTCTCTATGGAGACTAAGATCTTTCTAAACACATCTATGTCAAGGTGAATAAAGACATGCTTAATGTACGTTTACGGTATTTGCAAAATGAGTTTTGGTGAAATGTCTTCTTTTGAAAGAAGTTGGTGCTCTTATGAGCACCAAGGCTACATTAACCTGTATTTGATTTAAAAAATAAAATAATATTTTTGAAATATTACAATTTATTAATAACTGTAATGCATTTCTGTGATCAAAGCTGAATTTTCAGCATCATTACTCCAGTCTTCAGTGTCACATGATCCTCCAGAAATCATTCTATTATGCTGATTTGCTGCTCAAGAAATATGTTCATATTATTGTCTCTGTTGAGAACAGTTTTGCTGCAAAATATTTATTGTGTAAACTGTAATAGATATCGTTCAGGATTCTTTGATGAATAGTTTTTTTTTTTTTTTTAAAAACAGCCTTTATTTTAAATAAAATATTTTTGTAACAATGGAAACATCTTTACTGCCACCTTTGATCAATTTAATGCATCCTTACTGAATAAAAGTCTTAATTTCTATCATAAATCATTCTAATATGCTGATTTGGTACTCAAGAAAGAAAGTGCTCAGAGCTTGCACTTTCATAATTTCATAATAGACTTAATGAACTTTTCATTTCTTTAGTTTTCATTAAAGCATCGACTTTGTCTAAGATGTTTCGGTAACACTTTAGTATATGGAACTGTTCTCACTATTAACTAGTTGCTTATTAGCATGCCTATTATTAACATACTTGCTGTTTATTAGTACTTATAAAGCACATATTCTGCGTGACCATATTATACATCCCTAATCCTACACAATACCTAAACATAACAACTACCTTACTAACTATTAATAAGCAGCAAATTAGGAGTTTATTGAGGCAATTAATGGTTTAATAGCGAGAATTGGACCTTGTGTGACCTATGTTTCTCCTCAAATTTCTTAGAAGAAATAAAAACATACCAAAATGAGTCTATTGTTAGCATACATATTTGAGTGCTTATTTGTGATTTTTATTTCTTATGGATGTAAATATAAATATAGTATTTGGAAGTTTTAATAATTTTATCTTTGCGTTTTTCAATAATGCATATATACACATTTTTAAGTAATACATGTGTTATTACCATGTAATAAATCAAATAGCTGTAGTTCTAGTAAGTGATACATATTTATACAACAGTTCGTTCTGGTTCTCAAATCTGATTAGTTGAGAACTGTGAGATATTGTACTGCTATCGCTACAGGAACGCCCTTTCACAATTTATCACTCCGCTTGTTCTAGCCGGGTCTATGTTTTTTTAATTATTCACTGAGCTAATCGTAGGGTACGTTAGTTAATATAAGAAGAAACATCTAGCTTCGCGGTCTCTCTCTCTGTCTCATTTGGATGCAAGGCTTGCCGCATTGTTTCTCTCTTATAACCTCATTATTTCTCACTAATAACCTAACTGAAGCAGCACATGCCCTTGATACGAATTCTAAAAGTGACGTATGTTTAACTGTCAACTTGAGCTTTGAATCCGTGGCGGAAGGAAGTAGTTCCGCACAAAAGAGGGTTTTATTAGGCACTCCGTTGTTTCTTGTTTAATTACACACATTCCGTCGAACTGTTGTATAAACGCAATATCACTCTCGTACTCTCCACACAGTTAGCAGCTAAAGAGCAACTCTGAGTCTTACATGAGCAATATCACTCTCGTACTCGAGCGATACCGACTCTATATCAGCAGCTGTGATTAGGCCAGAGGCAATCACAGCCGCTGATATAGAGCCGGTATCGCTCGAGTACGAGAGTGATATTGCTCATGTAAGACTCAGAGTTGCTCTTTAGCTGCTAACTGTGTGGATTTTTCCAGACACGTTCCATTTCACAGCTGCAGTGAGTGAGTGTGTGTGTGTGTTGAGAGTAAAAAGCGCTACATTATGTGAGCTGAGACTAACATCAGCGGTTCTTGGCTAAAGGAGGTTCTCCTGCAGGCCAAACGTTTACAGTGTTTCACACTGGCCTGGAGAGTTTCTGCACCGTCCTACTGAAAGAGGTCACAACACAGGCCCTTGAAATCGCACAGTTTTAGCAGCACTCCAGAAACACTTAATTTCAGTCGGAAAACCCACACACACACACACACACACACACACACACACACACACACACACACACACTTAAGATCAGTGTCAGGTGAATGTAGCCTCTGTAAATAGTTCAGACAGAGAACAAGCTCAACAGGTATATTATACACCTTCAGCAGTTATATACCTCGATAGTGCACACGTCTATTTGATGTTTATGCTAGATAGTTTTGTGTCAGAACAAAGTATATTGACTTTTTCATCCCTTTATATATATATATATATATACACTGAACAAAAGTATAAATGCAACACTTTTGTTTTTGCCCCCATTTGTCATGAGCTGAACTCAAAGATCTAAGACTTTTTCTATGTACACAAAAGGCCTATTTCTCTCAAATATTGTTCACAAATCTGTCTAAATCTGTGTTAGTGAGCACTTCTC